AATACGAATCAAGTCATGGCAAGTAAAGCTGACATACTTGGGTTGGAAGAGCTCTATATATAACTATTAAGTTTTAAACCGGGGCCAAGAAATCTCCTAATTATTACATGGCGAGGTTTTTTGAGAATGCTGAGTCACTTAATGGAAGATAATTTCAAAATTCTTAAATACTATAATCCAAATTTGATAACTGCTTCTGACTGCTGCATATCTTTGTTTTAAGATCAAATGTCCAGATATATCGGACAACTCATCTGGCTCTCGGGTTTTCTCATGTATTCATATGAAGAAAACGCGTTGCATTCGGCAATAAAGTTTTAGTGCATTACAATTTTAAAAATATATCCCTCCGCGTGAGTGGTAGGAATGTATTACGAAACAAAAAAAATCTGTGGAACTAGGAACGAGTACCAACGATTAAAAATAATCATTTTGGGGTCCAGTTTTTAAAACAATCCTGTCGTTAATTCAAGTTGAATCCTCAAAACATGAATGGAATGGCCTCTGCATACAGGTAACGTATGTATAAACATATAGGAACAGTAAGCAACTCGGTATGTGTTTATCTTTCTCGCCATGTCAAATATCTTAAACGGACTTCAGACTACAATCAATTTCTCTCAATAATCCACCGAACGAAAACGGAAATTAAAAAAAAAATACGAATTTTACAAATTGTACATAGTCAGCGAATGTACCTTATTAGACAGTATGTCCTTTCACACATTTAAACATGGGAACTAACCCGAAAAAAATGTAAAACACTAAAACAGATATTGTGTACATTTCTTTATTCTAAAAATTCAATATATATCTTTCGTAAATAGATTTAGAAAACTTATTTGCTTACTAACGTGAAACTCCCTTATGAGCTGCATTCGCGTTCAACGACCAGGAAGTTAAATTACAGTGTAATCAAGAGTAAAACTTGTTAACAGGGGAGGTAACTCAGTTGTCTCTATATCTGTAAATGTATTGTAAATAACAACAAATTATGTTAAAGATGAGAGTAATACTTCAAAGACCGCAGTTTAGCAAGGAAAGTTTTATTCTATGAGCACGAAAATCTGTTCGTCTTTATCATGATGGCCATTTTATCGTCATATACGAAATTATACTTGTGAAAATAAACCGGAGTTTAACTAATCGGGGTTGATATCGCCTTAAATTCACAGACCAGTATAACCTGTTACAAGGCCACTGTTATCAGGTTTAGGGAGTTGTCCATTATAAAGACATTCACATGTATTGTTGTCTATGATCTTAAATTCTGTGTTAATCGATAATCAATGATGCAAGATTGCATTTCCGCCTTATTCTGTTTAACACTTGGATGCAGAAGTCATTGTGAAATGGCGCAAGTTCATGTTGATGTACACATGTCAGCATCTGAAACTTTTTACTGAGACACAGGCAAATTTTACGATTCTTTATTAAAAATGTGATTTTGATAATGTCGCGAAATTCACAAAAAAAAAAAAAAAAAAAAATAGATACGAGCAAAAATACTCAGTATAAAGTATGAAATTATAGCTCAAATTACCTTTCAAATTATTGATTAATTAACATGTACTATATCTTAAAGAAAGAACTTTAAGCTGAAACATGTCATTTTCGTTCGTCTTTTCAGTTTAGATATTCATTCTCAAGGGAGACTTTTTTATTTCTTTTATATTGTTAATGTTCAACAGTTTCCCTTGTTTCCTGCTCTTGTGGAACATTACATTATTATTTCAAAGATTAAAAAATATATTAGTATTACCTCTGTGATACACCAGAAAATGGATATTGAAAATGGCTGGGTCACGTGCTCTCTCTCGGGTTGGGGCTCAGAAAATTAAAATCCAATAAAATAATCAAAATATGACTCATTTTTTCCGTGTCCTAAGGTAGGTCTCCAAACACCTTTTGTTTGGGTTTTCCGCTGTTTATGTGCTTATTAAATCATTCCCTTGACTCGTACGTATAATGTCGTTATCAAGCACATCATCAGTATACACAACGCACCATTGCCCATCTTTTGTGAGAATATGAATTTTACCAGGTCCTTCACACATTCAAAATGTTAGCTTTCTCTGTAAAAACACTACGATGTCTCATTGTATGTGCTCTTTTATTTTCAAATAATGCAGAGACACGAATGTTATGATAACAAGTTTTGTATGAAAAGTTGAACACAGCCATATACATGTTACTTTGTTGTAAAGAGGGATATTAAAGTGAAACTCAGCAGTGTGTTTCAAGCCCCTTATCCAGGATCCCCAGCTTGTTTTGTTATTCCCTATCATAAAATCTAAAACATTTTTTCATCTCTCTTTTTTCACATTGATAGTGTTTATAAAAAAACGGGTTTATGTCATTGGTGTGGAAAATGAAATGTTCTCTTATCAACTCTAATCGATGTTTTTAATCAACAAAATTAGGATGGTTAAATTTATAAAGTGCCACTTCCTCCGACCATCCTCCATCCTTGCATCGTTCTAAACATATCTGCACCAACCTTATCATATATCAAATTCCGAGTTCTAGAAAACTTAGAAATTAAGTATTGCGACATTCTGAAGAATATTAACCTTATGAGACAGGAACGATGCAAGGTTTGATAAATAGTGAAACAGTAAACCCATTAAGTTCTTAAACAATCAATATTCCTTCTCTTGGTAAAAATCGGACCGAAAATTCTATACAGACGAGTTAAGAAATCATCATAGCCATTACGACAAATCGTTCTCCGTCCCAGTAACAAAATTAAACATAAGGATAACACCGTGGACGTAGTTGATAAAACGTGTGTAAATGAGATTTATTGTTTAATATAGCCTCGGGGGTTCAACAGGTAGGTCCCTTTATTGGTGAAGTCACTTCAATGATGGAACGATGTTTAGATATAGGAGAAACGTACACAAAATCATACCTTTAGATATCTACTGTCAAAAACTATTTTATGGGTTTTAATCATCACAGGACAAAGGATACGTGTTTGCGTCTATGACAAATATAACGAAACACATACTTACATGTTATGAATACCTAACTTAAGGTAAATATACTTTACTTATCCTACAACAATTAGGAAACAAGCTATCCACTTATATATATATCTCACTCTTATTGGCCCGGATTGAAACGCGAGGGGGATATTACTATGGGAGAAAACCGGAGTACCCAGGGGAACCTATTGATCTGGCAGCTGACCTCAAACATTTCCACGTCCGATCCGGGAATCGAACCCCGGACGACTAGGTGAATACCACCAATTTGTACGTTTGTAATCATGGCATTAAATATCATAAGGACGCGATGTACGATTTCATAAAATTATTTCAGAAAAATTAATATGAAATAAAAATGGCTACGTTAGTTTTCCCTGGATACTCCGGTTTCCCATACAATGAGGCTCCGTGTATGCTTCCATATGGGCAAACAAAAGAGTTCCATGTAAACTTTATTTTAACTTTAGTTTATTTCGCAATTGTTTTAAATAAATAAAGTTTATACTTAAAAGGAGACAGCTTTTGTTGTTGTGCCATTTTCTATTCGTAACGTAACGTCATTATTCATATTGTGACATCACAATCGATTTCTGACTGGCACAGCCAATGAAAAACGCTTCTGGATATATTACCTTGTGTCATATACGCAAAAATATTACATGGACGAATTCACTGGAAAACTGGAGGATTGTGTGATAAAATATAATAATGTACTAGAGAAATAAATGGATACCAAACGTAAAATTCAGAAATATTTTAAATATGTCATATGTCAGAAATTGGATGTGATATTCTTTGTCTGTAGAATATAGACGATATTTATAGAGAATACATATTTTGCTGAGAGGTCATCTCCTCAACGAAAGTTAAAGACATATTATAGTTTTATAGACCTATTTCAAATTCCAAATATCACACACGTTTATCAAAAACTTTTATTAACCCCCCCCCCCCCCCCAAAAAAAAAAAAAAAAACATCATAAAGTCATATAGTTAATTAATTCCCTGAGTACTGTGTCCATTACGAAAGATACTTAATGAGCTGACAAGTCAAGGGTTATAACGGAATAAAGCCATCTTCAGTCTCTGTTCATTGTCTATAATTGTGTGTTGTGTTTTGTTTGATATGTAAAACTGCCCTCTTATTAGTTTTCTATCGTGACAAACAACTATTCTAAGACATCAGTATAATAAGTAATATCAAAAGTAACTTGAATGTTTTGTTGATTGTCGTTTCATTATACTTTCATTTTGTCAGCTATTATGTATTAACCTCCAGTTTTTGTGTTATCGTTTACGTTGTACTTTCATTTTTCAGTTATTATGTATTAACCACCAGTTTTTGTGTAATCGTTTACGTTGTTCTTTCATTTTTCAGTTATTATGTACTAACCTCCTGTTTTTGTATAGTCGTTTACGTTGTACTTTCATTTTTCAGTTATTATGTACTAACCTCCTGTTTTTGTATAGTCGTTTACGTTGTACTTTCATTTTTCAGTTATTATGTACTAACCTCTTGAAATAATATAATCCTAAAAACATTATACTTCCATTTTGCAGACGAAAAATAAGATCCTCAGATGAATAGTGTAAGAAAAAACGGCCCAGACCAAGCCTAAACTTGTTCCAGTGTATAACAAAAATATTGAACACAATATTACTAACTCCCTAATATGAACAATATTATTAACAGCTGTTTATTTTAATAAGAAAAGATAAATTAAATGTTCACGTGAATTACTGCTATCGATTTACTCAGTGTCTTCGCGTGTGTAGTTTTTGACCCGCGTGACTAAATACTGCAAATAAAAAAAACGTAAACATTACAAAGGAGATTTAATTAATAAACGGTTGTATTTATTTTTGACTGTGCCTTTATAAAGCGACGTGAATATAGCCGGGCGTTCATAACTTGGGTATAGATTTCACCGTGACACCTGTTGATAGTTCGTACGCCTGAGCGTGGTCCGGTTAACAGTTATCATGTACTGCGTGAGGCACACTAGGATGCGGCGGTCACGGAGTCGGATGCTAAGTCTCGTGGCTGGAATTACCGTAGTTGCGTTGGTGTTACAAGTTCTTATTCTTTACCGTAGTGATGTTTGTAAGTATCCTTTGTTTATTTTTTTTAATATATTCCTTTTCACAACCGGAACATCTGTGGCTACATGAATCTGATGATAATAGTATTCACTAACATTCAGGTGTGTTCCCTAAATGATCAAGTGTGTTGTTGCTTCAGTAAACACGACGAACAACACGCCAGTGAATCTTAAAACTCACATACGTCTAAAGCGATTCTATAGCGATTCTAAGTAATTCTATATGAATTATTATATATGTAAATATACAAAACACTAAATGAATTTGTAATCAATTAATATCAAACCGTTGTTGATTGTTAAATAAGTTTGAATTGCGTTACATTTTTTGATAAAATAGAAGTGATACTTTCTATTCTCTAGGTATTATCATAATGTTAAAAATGAAAAAAAAAATGTTTGTAGGAGTAAAGGAAATATGCATGTACGTTTCAAGAGCATCGATATACAGCAGTATGACAAATACAATACACAGTTTATACATGTTGTCTATATATAATACAGGGAATTAGTACAATATGTATTTACTTAAAACTCGACTCAGGATTATATTCAACAATCAGTGCTCTAAAATAGGACTGAGTCGAAGCTTATGCTATTTTATCCTCTGGTGAACTTAAATTTTGGGTTTAACAGTGGTGTGTACATTATGAACAATAATTGTGTGATTAAAAAGGGGTTACGCTTGCGGTGAAAAAGTGACAGCGATATGAAGAACTTATATCGTTGCTCTGAAGGATATCTGTGCGAAGTTTTTATAGGTTTAACGAGTCCATGCTATCTTATATAGAGGAATTTCTTATTTATAGTTTTTGTGGTGTGTTAAGATAACACTTGAAGTCGGTGATTTGAAACATATGGATGTGCCATGTAGTTACACAAGTACGTGCGGACAGCGGAGTGTATAGTACATGTGTATGTAATAAAATTAAACTATGAAGTGAAAATCATGATTTTTAGTTCGTGTCACCAAATGGTCATCAGGTTTCCATCCTGTCCAATCCTCTTTTGCATGTACCAGACAGTCCACACAATAAACAGTGACCACTGTCATGTTACACTAAATGAAATTATCACGGTGACCTACGTACAAAGACTCGAAAACCTAGGGTACATACTCCTGTCGTTGTCATATTTCCTGTGGAACGCTTCCTTGCACAGTCATTGTAAAAAGTATGTGTATACACGTTAGGAAAAGTTTGGTTAGCTTCCTGTGAACAAGTGGTTAAAACACACGGAGCTGATCACAAGTTTACGTTAGGAAAAGTTTTGTTAGCTTCCCAGTTGTTAAAACACACGGAGCTGATCACAAGTTTACGTTAGGAAAAGTTTTTTAGCTTCCCGTGAACAAGTGGTTAAAACACACGGAGCTAATTACGAGTCAGTGTGGCACAGATTTAAAATAGAAACATTTAGATGTTGAAATACATGTCACGAAAACCCATGGACAGATTTGTTTGGTATCAACAACGATCCCTAAAGACAGGTCATTATATAGATTCTGTCCTTGGTTACAAATAAACTTAAGTACGCTAATCTCCTTTGAAACAATGTAAGATAAATGCCGGAACTTGCTAATATGAAATAAGATGTACGCATACCATGGAGAGATGAAATATTGGATCACAACAATAAGCTAAGGAATTTAAACTGTCTTGGTTGTAATTAAAGCTGCTGCCAGGGTTTACTGTTAGAAGCTGTACCGGGCAGATTTTTTTTGTTGGGACAGATTGAAATTCTTGTCCTACATTCTTATCTCCGACCTTTAGGGACCTATACGTTGACCTTAGGCATAAATTTACATTATAATAATCTTTGCAAATAAAAAGTATATTGTATTTCGTATCAGAATATTTTATTGATGTAACCAATCATTAGGATTAGGCAGCAGGCTAGAGCCTATATAAGTCTTCTCCCAAGACAACATGGTGTTCAGACATAAACGTAATACACCATAAACAATACAAACACATACACACACACACACACACACACACACACACACACACACATATTTATTGTTGACAGACAAATAGATTTTAAATTATGGGAGACAACTCTTTTATTTTTTATACTTTATTCTTATGATTATAAAACGATAATTAGCAATCCACCAGCTTTTCAGTTTACTACGTCTTATGATATTAAAGGTGCATTACATGTACTTTCTCTCTTATATAAAAGGGGTTTGGGTCACAATGTCCATGATATAAAAGTTAGCCCCCTCACTTCAGTGAGGGAGCAAGCACACATAAAACACATTTTCTTATATCAAAGGATTATTATTCTAAATAAAAGGGATATTCAGACGAAGATAAAGAATAAGTAAAGTGAGTTGTTTCCTTATTATAAGATGATAACTGAAATATTGAAAATTAATCAGAAAGAACAAAGAATAATTGGAAAAAGGAAGAAAAATAAACAACTATTAACTAATGATATTCATTTCATCATTGATAACAGTTGAATTAACTCTGTCTGTGGAATCTTAGCAAATAGAAAGTATACTGTATTGATTTAACAGTGATGAGTTGTTTGACCTGTGACCTTTGATGATCAATATAGTGACTTTTGACATACTTCTAGATTATTATAAGATGTGTAACGAAAAACATATCATAAGTATTGAAATTGATGACTTTTGTGACCTTAATTTTGACCTTTGACATATAAATTCAATTCAAAATTATTTGCCATGAAATAAATATTGAATTACTTCTGTGATCTTAATGTTGACCTCTGACATATCATTCAATTTAAAAATTATTTGCCGTGAAATAAATATTGAATATCGATGGAAATTGATGACCTATTTGATTTAATTTGAAGTAAGTATCCGAAATTGCTTTCGAATTTTTGTATAGTAGATTAGCATCACCAAGGTCATACATACAATATGATCACGACCCCGAAAGTGGATAACGTTACGCGTGGATTCGATGTGTCAGATATGAGCTTACAGAGAAACAGAAATAAGACAAGTAGGCCTGATCGGGAAACACAATTTGCCTCGTGCGATATTTCAAATATATAATATACATGTTTATATATCTCGTCTTATTTCAAATGTCTTCACAACACTCACATAAACCTATCACGTTTTCAGCTTCGCGCCGTATATGATTCGTGAGAACACACATGTATATTGTACCATATCCCAAAACGATTTTTAATCTGGAACTGGCGCTACCGTTGTCGGAATACACCTGCCATGTATTTTTTTTTTAGTGTATTCGGCAGTGACGGAAAACAGTTGCATGTTAGCACGTGCAATAATTCGAAAGAATCGCTATCTGAATGTACTTAAATATTACCTCAAACATATAAAAAGTTGTTTAAACAAGCGATTTTACATGTTGTAATGAACATGTAGATCTATGATAATTAATAAAATCGCTGTTACCTCCGATGAACTTTGGACCTATGTTTCCGCGCGGAGGAATTATTTTGGCATTAGGCAAAATTCAGCGTAACATCAATGTCAGGCAAACACAGATTGAACAACAAATCTATTTGTTTCAATCGTCAGATTTTCAATCAGTGTTGCAGGATAAATAATATACGCGCTCAGGGATAGAAAGACATCCACACCGTCGTCAAAATACAACTTTTATTAGGTCATCTGGACCCGAAGGGTCCGATGACCTATAGTCATCATGCTTCGTCCGTCGTCGTCCGCCGTGCGCCGTGCGCCGTCCGCCGTGCGCCGTGCGCCGTCCGTAAACTTTTCATTCAAACGACTTCTTCTCAAATACTAGAAGGTCTAGGGGGCTAATACTTGGCACAGAGGATACTGGCATGGAGCTCTACCAAGTTTGTTCAAATGAATGACCTTGACCCACTTTAAAGGTCACAGGGGTCAAATATGTTAAAATCTTTAAACAACTTCTTCTCATTAACCAAAAGGCTCAGAGTGTAGATATTGGGCCTGTGACATGCTGGGATGAAGGACTACCAAGTTTGTTCAAATGAATGACCTTGACCCACTTTAAAGGTCACAGGGGTCAAATATGTTAAAATCTTTAAACAACTTCTTCTCATTAACCAAAAGGCTCAGAGTGTAGATATTGGGCCTGTGACATGCTGGGATGAAGGACTACCAAGTTTGTTCAAATGAATGACCTTGAACCACTTTAAAGGTCACAGGGGTCAAATATGTTAAAATCTTTAAACAACTTCTTCTCAATAACCAAAAGGCTCAGATTGCTGATATTGTGCCTGTGGCATGCTGGGATGAAGGGCTATCAAGTTTGTTTAAATGAATGACCTTGAACAACTTTCAAGGTCGCAGGGGTCAAATATGTCAAAATCTTTAAATAACTTCTTCTCAAATACTAGAAGGCCTAGGGGGCTAATACTTGGCCCATAGCATGCTGGCATGGAGCCCTACAAAGTTTGTTCAAATGAATGACCTAGGCCCACTTTCAAGGTCACAGGGGTCAAATATGTTAAAATATACAAAGGACTTCATCTCAATAAGCAAAAGTCTATGAGTGCCGATATTGGGTCTGTAGCATGCTGGGAGGAAAGGCTACCAAGTTTATTCAAATGAATGACCTCAACCCACTTTCAAGGTCACAGGGGTCAAATATGTTAAAATCTTTAAACAACTTCTTCTCATTAACCAAAAGGCTCAGAGTGTAGATATTGGGCCTGTGACATGCTGGGATGAAGGACTACCAAGTTTGTTCAAATGAATGACCTTGAACCACTTTAAAGGTCACAGGGGTCAAATATGTTAAAATCTTTAAACAACTTCTTCTCAATAACCAAAAGGCTCAGATTGCTGATATTGTGCTTGTGGCATGCTGGGATGAAGGGCTATCAAGTTTGTGTAAATGAATGACCTTGAACAACTTTCAAGGTCACAGGGGTCAAATATGTCAAATTCTTTAAATAACTTCTTCTCAAATACTAGAAGGCCTAGGGGGCTAATACTTGGCCCATAGCATGCTGGCATAGAGCCCTACAAAGTTTGTTCAAATGAATGACCTTGGCCTAC